GACAGTGGAGGCCAAAATAGAAGGAATAGTTTATTGTGTACAGAGAGGAACGGGGAATAAGGCGGAAGAAGTTGGACTTGGGAGCACACGACCACCCAGGAGACTGGTCTGGTCCCAAGTGATGTCTGTTAGCCGAGGGTGGGGAAATAGGTACGTGTTCGAGTGGTGCTTTGGCAGCCGCGAGCACCTAGACGCACGTGCGTGTGTCCGAGTGGAAGTAGGTCAAGTCTGTGCAGTTCAGCGCTTCTATAAGCGCTGACTGAGGTATTGGATGACCTTGAGACAGCTGGCCTTGAAAAATGACGCCGGACACAGCAATGGAGGGTGTCGGCCGGCAGCGACCACTACAAGTATGTCCCATGATGAAATCGGTGAGCGCATCTCATTACGTCTTTGTGAGGAGAGCTTCCTATACCAGTCAAAAATATAGAAAAACATATACTAACTAGTCTGGTAAGTACATTTTCTACTGGTCAAGAAAAAGTTTTAGAATATATCTGCCTTTTGGCCTTATTTAATATATACACAGAAATAATCATTTTTTTTTCTCCCCAACAGCATGCTCTACCGATATTGCTATGAGTGCGGTCGGTCTGTCGATGTTAAGCTTGTCCCCTGCACTCGATGCAAGAAGGTTTTTTACTGCTCAAGTGCCTGCAAGTTTAAGAGCTGGTCTACTCGGCACAAGAAGGAATGCCAGCTGGTTAAAAGCAAGAGTAAGCCCATGTAACATATATTTTGGCCTTTGCTCTCTGCCAGGTAGCTAACATATAGATACGCCTGTAAGTTCGGATGAGACTGCAGTAGATTGGAGAACGGCTGAGTCGTTGAAAATATGATCTGAGAACAGTATATGGCTGAGGATTGCGTGGGGATCGAAATAGACAAAATGGATTGCTACTTACCGGGGGTGGGGGTGAACGGGGGATAAGATGCGAGGAGTCATATGTCTTGGAATGCAGCTTGGTCCATCTATCTTCAGCACAGATAAGGCCAGTAAGACCCTCTAAATCTTGTATGGGACATCGTTGTTTAAGGACAACCAACTCACCAAATTGTGCTCCGAGTCAATCAACGTGTCAGGTCATCCCAAGTAATGTAACCGTCAACTCGTCGGAAGTCGCCGGCTTCTATCTCTTACGTCACCTGGACCACCACAGGAGAATGGCGTTCATTTTAGACCAATTCATTTTCCCTTGGAGCTCCAACTCTGGGTCCTAGGACCATAGAATAGCTCAATAGTAGCAGGAGGCTGAGTTTGATCAGCACCAACAACACTGAGCCAAGTGTATTTATAAATGTGCCCCGTTACTCTGATCGTTTATTTTATGGGTCGTTCTGTTTTGATTAGGCCACTCAGTTACAGCCTGACGCACAGTCATAATGTAATGTATTTTTTACATCAAGTTTGAAAATTTTTACGTAGATATATCCGGTGTGTTGCATGATAAAGCAAATGCAGGAGCAAAATTTTATCACAAAACGACTAAAAAGACTTGTCCAAAAGGTGGGTTAACATCAGTTGTAAGGTCACCTAATGTGTCGACGTTTATTTCAAACTGGGCTGAGAATGCGACGCGGTGTAGACAATGCATTCTGTTATCACAGAAGGTTAAGTTGGTTAAACCCTAGCAACGGTAATCTTCAGACTCAGTCCCTTAGGAAAAGAGAAATCATGGGGGCAGAGTGGAAGGAATAGTTTATTCTGTACAGTTGGAATGTCTGACCAGACAAAAATAACTTACCCGCTTAAAGTGCTGCATATTAGTCAGTTTGGAAGGATAACGGTCTAGGATTGATTGGGTTCACTGAACCGGACGGCTGAATAATTCGTTTGAAAAAAAAACCGACAAGTCCCACTGTCCCATGCGAGGCTGTAATTTGACTATACCCAGTCGGCGTGAGTCCCAAATGTTTTAAATAAATGTGGATGGCACGCCTACCACTGAGGCCCACACTGTGTCATTTATTGCATATATGCTCATCTCCTGTGTATGGGAAAACATCAAGGGGGGGCAAACTTGAGGCCCGATAACGCGTTCAACACAATAATTTATTCACAAACAGTCGCGAGTTTGAGGATTGACAATTGACGGGTTTGGTAAGCTCCCCTTCGGAGTAGGGGTGCGAACACAATGTCTCCGTATAAGTACGGCCTCTATGACACCCCTAACCCTCGTGAGCTTCGAGAACCCATGTGAAGCATGTTACAAGGAGAAATGTCTGGCTGTGTCTGCCACAAACCTCGTCCTCCTCGATTGGCTATCGGACAGACATCATTGGGACAGACAAAACGCCCATCGAACCCACTTCACCTTCTCACTTCGCACCGGGGCATCACATGGGCCTATACAGTCATATGCGTCCCCATGGGAACATACAGTAAAACCTGACAGTCCAAACCCCATGAACACACACCACGCTCACAAGTCTATGCCCCACACATTATATCATTCCGCACACGGACTGAACATGCATATCTCACGTTAGTGGGAAACAAGTCCTTTGGTACAATTCGGTGTCCACCCGACCGACAGTTCAACCGTCGATTTCGACGATGTCTACCCAGAGCCTCAGCAGACTGAAGTAAGTCGTTGATTTCCGCCTGACTATAGTGAAAGTAGACTCGCGGAGGATCTACCTCACTCTCTCACCACTCCCACACCGGACCCGATGTCAAGAAAAAAGTCAAGAAGACCGGAGATGGAGAGGATGCAGGTGGCTGGCGCGACCAACACGCGTACCAAACAGCCCGCCTCGCTAGGTAGGCACCCGCCTGGGAGCGCCATAAAGACAACATTAAGAAGGAGTCACTGAGCCGGACTCTCAGCTCGCAGTAAGCCACTCCA